GGGCACCTCCATGAGATAGTAATCAGGGTCAGCCACCTTCAAAATCTAACTCCTGAATAGAGTCAATGGAAAATTATTGACACAAAACAGTCTCTAGTCTGCAGCAGTCGAGAAACTCCAAGCAGCTAACTGCATTACATCATCTCAATGAGCAATATTTGTAAATTCACAAAGTATTTAATTTTGAGACACTCACAAGAAATCACTACCAATTTTTTAAAAATCAGCAAATTCTGATACCTGTCAGCACTGAACCTTTGAAAAAGAAAAAGGAAAAACAAAAAACAAACAAAAAAAAAAAACAACAACATGTAAAAGCACTTTGTGCCTTAGTCAATTGTGTGGTTCTGGAGAACCATCTGGGAAAGTCAAAGTTAACATTTGGCAACAGAAATAGGACACATTTTTTTAACGACATATCTGGTAAAACTACAGGGGGGGAGCATTGCTAGGACAGAGTACGGTGCATCTGGACAGGACACAGAGGCCAGTGGCCATTGTTTACAAAAACAGGCTGGGATTATGATTGGTGACAAGAGGCCAAGACCTCAGCTATAACTCAAAATCACGCCTCTCTCAATTCCAACCCAACTGGAGCTATCATCAGTCAACTACCTCATCTTTGTAATAAAACTGACCAATATTTGCAGTCAAGTGGATTGAAGGTCCCTTGAGGCACCTCCTGCATTGACCAAACTGATAATACATACATTAAAAAAAAAAAACCCTGCAGACACAATGATGACTTTAAGCTACCTTTCAACTTCCAAGAAATAAAAGGACTACCCATTTCACACTCTACCTCTAACCCACACCCAAGGCAATCATTAGAGGGGAGACACGGCCTTTCCCAAGTCCTCCAAGATAGGAAAAGGTCTCCTAGCTTTGGTGCAGGGAAAGAAGGAGGGGCCCCTCCCTCTGTACTCTGAAACAAAGGAAAAACTCAGAGCTCCAACCATGTGGTGTAACATTCAAGGCCACCCACCTCTCCTACTTCCCAGCTAAGGTCTCAATGGGCTAGAGCCACATGGCTCTTCCCAGGGACTGGTCAGGAAGGGGTAATGCCTTACACAAACACAGGCTGGGGCTCCTTCACAGGCATAGATACCTCTTAGGGAAACACTGGATAAGGAAAAGCTATTTGGGTATGGGCTTTGATTTGAGAAGCCAATGTAATCACATGAGGAGACAACACTTGGTTTCCCTGGGGTCTACACTCTGCCTTACCCCTTCACATCACTGCTGAAGGGGACATGGACCTTTAAAAGCATGTACTCTGGAGCAGAAGGTAACAACACAGAAAGAAGGCTTAGACAATGATGTCTCCCTATTTTTCAGTTTCAGCACCACTCTGAAACCCTAACAGTTCAGCTCCTCCAGGGTTAGGTGAGGATGGAAACGAGTTGGGATGGTCTTCTTTCTGGTCTGTGATCTTTGACTGTATGCAGGGTGATCATGGGCCAGACAAGTACAAGGTGCACCCAATATGGCTAAGGTCTTCCTGAATCCAGTGTCATGGCAAGTCTCATGCTTTAATACAGTACACCAGAAAAAGCCTGCCTCTCCCAGGTACACCTTCCGAATGGTACACCTTCTCAAGGTTGCCTTTCTGTCTGGACTCTTCTTCAACCTTTGAAATAAACACCTGTCAGATTTCAGCTGTCCTTCAAGGAAGCCTGACTCAAGACACCCCAAGGCAAACTGCAGCTTTCTTTGCTCTCTCCAGAGAACCTCCTGCCCCTCCCCCACCCAGCCTTTGGGAAAAAGCTGCCAAAATAATGGCCAGCCCCACAAAGATACTCCCAAAAGCCCACTTCCAGTGCCCGTGGCCCCTGACACTGTTGAGCATTCCAAGGCTTTGATCCACCTATGAAACCACCTCTGGGGTCAACTTGCCACCTGCTCCACCCAAGAAACGAAGGCCCTGAAAATTGGGGTGGAAACGCATGCCTCACCAGTCTGCAGAGCATACATGCATTATGCTAATTTTCAAAAGCCTTACCTTTGACCTGCGTATCGTACTCTGCGATGATCTCCTTATCCTTTTTGAATTTGGCTGGGGACGTCATGTTTTCCCTCTTTCTTCCAAATTCGAATTGTCAATTGATAGATCCACGAGAAAAATCCAACACCGAAATCAATTCCTCCAAGGCCACTTGTCCCACGGGCAGAGAAAGCCCCCGCGGTGGTCTCCAGAGCTCCAGGGGAACACGGGCGGCAGGATGGGTAGCCGGCTACCACACACACATGCAGACTGTGGGCGCTGAGGCCGCTGGGGAGGGGGGGCGGCGGCGGCGGCGGCTTATGTACTAAAGCCGTAGCCACAGACGCAGCATTAGCCAGGAGAACTGCAGCGCCCTGAGGCTGGCCTGGGGTCTGACATCAACGACACAGGCGGGGAGTGGAAGTCCTTCCGCACAACATGGTGTATGGGATGCGGGGGTGTGGACGCGCCCAGCTGTGTCCCCGACAGGGAATGGGATTGTCTCAGGGTGCCAAGGGAGGACTAGGCGTGCTTCGCGGGGTTTTTTTTTCTTTTTTCTTTTTCTTTTTTGTGGTACCAGCTCAAAGATGCTGCAAATCAAATCCCAAAAGGGTGCCGCTGCAGCGCGGAATGGATCGGAAGTCGTTTGCTCCGCTTCACTAGCCTGTAAATGCAAAAAAAAAAGGGGGGGGAGGGGGCGATCAGTCCTAGGGCAGATCCTAATCGCAACAGGGGTGGGGTCGGGGATGACACTCGGAGTCCAGCTTTGGCTCATTCATCTTGGCCTAACACCGCCCGTTCGGCCCAGAAACCCGGCGTGGCGAGGTAGGGAAAAAAACAGCTTCCACCAGATTGTTTTAAGGCAGAAAGAGAACACTTTGGAGCAGTCGGCAGCGCGTGCTCCGGGCGGGGACTGCGGCGGGAAAGCAGAGCTGGGAACTGCAGCACCTCGGTGCTTCCCCAGCCCAGCTAATCCAAGAGGGGCTCTCCCGCCGAGCCCGCGACGCGGCCCCTGACCCCCTGCTGGGGCACCTCCCAAACATCTACAGGATCAATACCGGAGGGGACAAACCAGACAGGCATAACTTTTCTTCCCTTCCCGCCCCTCCTCCCAGTTGTTTTGTTTTTGGTAACTAGCTTCTCCTGGCAGCAAAGCGGGGGGGGGGGGGCTGCTGCAGGAAGGGCCCGCTCTGCACGGGACATCCAGGAAAACAATGTGGTCGGCAGAAGCAGGAAACGGGCTAGAGGCTAGGGTCTAAACCGGGAAAACCAGGGGATGGGAGGCGGAAAGCGGCAGTCGCCTCCCCCAAGCCAGGGACGAGGGTGTCTCTAAATGGCACCCCAATATTTTTTGTTCCCCAAGCCCAGGGATCACAAATACCGCACCCAATCCCAGTCGGGTGGGAGGCATCAGTGAGAGTCGCTCCAGGAGGCGCGGGAGGCGGCGGCAGGGAGACTGAGGGAAGGGCTCCTGTGCAGCAACGGACCCCTGCCTCCTAGGCCGCCAGGTCCCCGCCGGCGCACGGGCGGCTCCAGGCAGTGTCGCCTACTCCCGGGGCTGGAGGAAGGGCCGCGCGCAGGAAGAGCTAGCAGAGGCCGCGCGGTGCGGGCGGGCAGGAAGCGGGAGGCGGGCGTGAGGTGGGGTCCTGAGTCGGGAGAGAGCACGGGCCAGCGTGAGCGGCCCAAGCTTGGACGACCAGAGAGGGCGCCGAGAAGACGGCTTTGGGGGCAAAGCAGTGGGAGAAACCGCGGTGGGCTGCGGCATGAAGTGCAGGATGTTGGCAACTTTGGGGACCCGCATGAGGTTTGGATATCGGAGTAGGTGGAGAGCCCCGGGAGACAGACTGCAGGGCTAGACGGAGAGAGAGCCCCGCAAGCCCTGAGGAACACCCCATCTTTCCGGGTCCTGGGCTGCGGGCCAAGGCTGGGAGACCAGGGACGAGGCCAGCAGACCGTTACGGCGAGGCCCCGAGGTGGACCCGGCCAGCCGTGTGCAAAGGGGCTGCGGGAGGGCGGTGTCGCCTCGTGAGGACAGTCCTCAGCAATGCAGGGATGGGCGGGGAGATGAGCAATCCCGGGAAGTATTATGGGCTGCACTGGGGGATTTGGAGGGTCGCGGGCCGAGGAGGGCGGTGTGAGGACCGTGGGCGGCGGCACCGCAAAGGCGGCGCCGAGAGCCGCAGCATCCGCGCCGCGTCCACCCGCCCAGTCCGGGTTTGTTCAGTCAGGACAGCAGCCAGGCAAACGGAGAGGGAAGGGGGAAGGAGCCTTTACCTGGCTCTGCCGCGACGGGTCCCAGGCCCCAGGTTCCGCTTCCCACTTAGCGATCTCCTCCCCGCCACCCTCTTCTACTCAGTTCGGCCCCCCAGTTCCCTAAGGAGACTCCGCCAACTCCGCAAGACCCCGCCGGGAAGCAGAGCCCACCCCCTTGCCAATCACCACCCGCTTTCTATCGACCGATGGGGCCTCTGGCCAATAGGAACAAAGGATTCCCAAGAAGCCCGGAGTAGGGGCGGGGCTGACGAAACTTAGGGGTGTGGCAAGCACTAGCTGCCCAGGCGCAGTCCCAGAGTGAGCTCCTCCCTGGCCTGTGGAACCCTAAAGTAGAAGTGATGGGCGGGGTAACATGGAACCGACAACCAAACACAAACTCGCTAGAGACGACGAGACCAATCGGGCCGGGAAAAGGAGGAGGGAGGTTTAGCCAATAAGCAGTAGAGGACCGTAGAGTATCTACCAATGAGAAGCTCGGGGTGTGTCTTCCAAGTTCACAGGGGGAGGGAGGGTGTACCCGAGCAGATGCTGGCCAATGAGCTTAGAGGCCGAGTCAAGCCGAGCCAATCAGAGAGCGGATCTGACCTCGGCACCGTTACTGGGGCGAGGCCTCGGAGCTCACGTCAGGAGAAGGCCCCTGGCCTTCCAATGTGGGGCTGGGGCGAATTCTAGTCCTCCCAATCCGTGCTCGGCGCAGGCAATTCAAACTGACAGCGGGTTAGAAAAAGCAGAGAAAGCGGAAGAAAGGGCAAAACCCGGCGTGTTCGGTGACAGACTCCGGCGCGGACTGAGCCTCTTCTGCGGCCTCTTTCCCCCACCTCATCCAACACGACTGCTCACTCCGGAGCGGCCGCAGTGGGAGACACCCCAAGGGTGGCAAGTGCGCGAGCTGAGGGAGCGAGGACGCCGAGAGCCGTGGTGCAAGGAGTGGGCCCGCGACCGAGCTCGGAGAGGGGGGCGCGTGCAAAGGGCTGAGGGGCCTTGAACCCTGCGAAGAGGCCGCGTGGAGCCGAGCAGGAATTGGAGCGCCCTGCGGGCGGGGCTCGCGCTAGGAGTGGTCAGAGAGGCGAGGCTTTAAAGGGATGCCCTCCGGGAACTGGGAATAGCTGAATTCGGGGGCGGGAGCTGAAGAGCAGAGGACTCTTGGAGACCACAGAAAGCGAAAGCTGTCATAAAGTTTCCCTTCAACTCTGTTTGTCTCTCTCCACCTCAAACTCCATCCCCCGGCCCCCACCCCGAGGCAAAAGGAAGTACAGTTTGCTCTTTCCACTCAATAAATACTAATTTGTACCTTTCCACCCGGAAAACAGAACTCTCTTCCTAATTTTAGAGCTTAGAGAACTCAAGGCCTCCCAACTTGGTTGTTAGCCCGGGGGAATCAAAACACGTGTATTGCTTGTTTCCCCCTTTTCCAAATTCTGTACCTCGTTCTACGTGGGACACTATGTCTGCCAACAACTGTACTTTCAAGGACCGATGCGTGTCCATCCTTTGTTGCAAATTCTGTAAGCAAGTTCTCAGTTGTAGGGGAATGAAGGCTGTTTTGCTGGCCGATACTGACATAGACCTTTACTCTACAGACATCCCTCCTACCGAGTAAGTCCACTGGGTAGCCCTTTAACTAACTGGGCAGTAGATGGCGTGGATTCCTGGGAATCAAGGTTATCATTTGGTGTTCCAGCCACTCCCAACAGTCTGATGATTCCCTTGGAGTTTATCTAAGTGGGCAGACTGTCTGGACGAAAGTTTGTGGTTTACCCAAAGTGGTCAGTACTGAGGTCATGCTTCTAGGCACTTACAGTCACGTGGTTGTACATCCCTTAAGTTGGCTCTGAGGCTCAGTGCCTTATCCACCCTTTCTCACTGAGACAAGTCTTTAACAGTCTCTTGGAAAGAAGCAAAATTCGTGATTAATAATGATATTAATTTGAGCGTTTTAAACTACAGACAAGATATATATATAGTCTATTCACCCATTGAAATCTTTTGTGAATTGGCTTACATGTAGGCATTTATTACAGAGATAAATGGGATAAATATTTTGTGTATGTGCGTTTGTGTGGCGCCAAAAAAAAACACTAGATGATAAAATCATAGAACCTAATGTCCCAAAGGTTCTAGGATCCATGTGTTGTTTTAGTTAGATATGCTCACACACAAATATGAAATATTTTCCCATCTTTATAGTAACTGTGGTCATAAGGAAGTCTTGGGTGAGTTGTTACATATTAGAGTCTAGCATAGAATCATGTCTTTTGTATTATTTTTCTTTGTTGGAGTTATAATCACATTGGATTCATATGCTAAGATATGTGTCAATCAGTGAGTGCATTGATCTTTAAGATTTATTTTAATACTTTTTTCATTGTGTGTGTGTGTGTGTGTGTGTGTGTGTGTGTGTTTGAGGAGGGGTGGATCTGTGCACTGATGGGGAAGTCTTGTGTAAATGTCAATGTGGCTGGCGGAGGAAAACTACACATTACAGTGCACAGATGCCCTCAGGACGATAGAGGTGTCTGGAGAGGCCAATTGTGAGTTGCATGATGTGGGTGCTGGGAACTGAACTCCAGTCCTCTGCCAGAGCAGTGCATTGTCTTAAACACTGAGCCATCTGTCTGTCTCTCACAGATTGTTTTTTAGTAGAAAATCTGCCAAATGTTTATAGTGAGCACAAATTATTACCCAACTCCTACAAAAATGTGCTACAGTTACATTTTAGAGTCTAGTTTCTAGTTTTGAAAGTAAGATACAGAATTCTGGAAATATAGCTCAGTGGTTGCCTGGCATTTGTAAGATCCTAAGTTCCATCCCTAGTCACATACACACACACTTTTTTTAGTGAGAATATATGGCAAGTTTTTATCGCTTTTCAGAATTCAAATCCTTAGTATATTTGACTGTCTGTAAACCTTTTTTATCCTCCAGCACCGTGGATTTCATTGGAAGATGCTATTTCACTGGAATCTGCAAATGTAAACTGAAGGACATCGCATGTTTAAAATGGTAATTTGTGGCACTGTTGTAGATAGCCTGATTTTAGAAGGTAGATATTAACACCAAAACCCACAGAAGATTCTGAGGGCAGTATCTAGCATGGATATAACTCCGACAATGAGTCATTGAAAGAGCATTTGTTTCTTAGAGCTATTTTAATTATATTTATTTACTTATCTATTTATTTATATGCATGAGTATGTGTATATAGCATATTTGTGCCATGGCACATGTGTGGAAGTCAGAGGACAACTTGTGGGAATTGGTTCTCTCTTACCATAGGAGGCCCAGGAATTAAACTCAGGTCCTCAGGCGTAGAAGCAAGTGCTTTTACCCAGTGAGCCATCTTGCCAGTCCTAGAATTATTGTTTTAAAAGAGTCTTTGTGATAGTTTTCAAATACTATTTGTAGTTTTTCAAAGTGCATTCACAAATATCTGCTTCCCAATAATCCTGTGTAATCTAAGAGGTAACAGTGGGATTTACACTCATAAAAATCAGGAGCAGAGGAGATGTCTCAACTGGTAAAGAGCTAGCAGCAGAAATATGAGGATCTGGATGTGTTAGCATGCACTTGCAGTCCTAGCTGTGGACTGGTAGGATGCACTGAGGGGCCCCCAGCTGGAGACAGGAGGATCTATGGTATTCCCTCACCAGCCCGCCTAGCCTAACTGACAAACCTCAGATTTTAGTGAGAGGCCCTTCTCAGAAAAGGTAGAAGGCTCCTGAAGAACTACACCCCAAGCTGACTTCTGGTTTTTACATACATGCACATATTCATACCACTGAGCCCCATACGAGATCTGACCCCTGCCCTGTCCTGGTTCTCTGCATGATCTTGATTAAACACCTTAAACCTCTAAAGCTCAAACTTAGTTTCTGAATGAAAAAAAAATATTTTTTGAGACAGGATCTTACTCTGTAACTCAGACTGGTCTTGAACTCACTATTTTGTAGGCAGTTTTCCTATCCCAACCACCTGTTCCCAAATAACCAACAGCTACTTCCGAAATAACTGACTCAGAGACTAGCTCTTACAACTTAATCCATTTCTGTTCATCCCTGTGCTGCCCTAAAGCTCATGGCTTTTACCTCTATCACATTTTGTGTGTCTGACACATTCTTTGGCTGGCTGGTGAGTCCTCTGACTCCACTCTTCCTTCTTAGTTTGGCTTTCCCGCATAGCTTTATCCTGTTCAGCTACTGGCCAGTCAGCTTGTTTATTAAACCAATCACAGCAACATATATTTGCACAGTGTACAGAACGACTATTCTACAGCACTATATAGCCCAGGATGACCTCTAATTTCTAGCAACCCTCTTGCCTCAACCACTGAGTGCTGGGATTATAGATATGAACTGCCATACCCCAGCTCCTTATTTAATTTCCAGCCTCACCTCCCTTTCTCTCCCTCCCTCCCTCACCCTTCCCCACCTCACTGCCTCCCTCCCTCCATTCCTCCCTTCATCTTTTGAGGCACTGTCTCCCTATGTAGACAGTCCTGGTGTGAATGTCCTGTAGCCTCCAATTCACAATCATCGTGCTTCAGCCTCCCCTAAGTGTTGGGATTACACATGTGCCACCATGCTTGGCTCTTTAATTTCTATCTTAATATTCCTATTCTTATGAAGATAGAAATTAGAAGGCAATCTCCATTTAGCCTCCAAACTTGTGAGTTGGAAATGAATTGCTAAAGTTAAAAGTCTTCATGAAATGTAAGTAAAACATAGATGAGAGCTATTACTATTATCTTTTGAAAAGTCAATGAGTTTGTATTACTTCATTACAGAGAGAAGATGGGAGTTTTTAAATGGGATTGGGTTACAAATTAGTAGACCATAATGTGTTTAAACTTACCAATTCAAGCTGTACTTGTACTGAGGACCTACTGTGTGCCAGTCACTGCTCTCAGAAGTGGAAACCCAAGATATCCATGAGATAAAGTTACTGGCCTCTTCACTTAATATTCTAGTGGAAACATGATCATTTAATCTGATAGTAAGTTAAATAAGATATTTACTATAGTGGGAAGTACTACAGAGAAAAATAATAATATATGATAATGAATACCAGAAATTAAGAAAGCAAGTAAGAATTATTTTAGATATCATTGTCAAGGAAGCTGTCTCACAAAGATGTAAACCTTGGGTTTGATCCTAAGTTTAAAAAGAATGTACTTGGAAGCCGGGCGTTGGTGGCGCACGCCTTTAATCCCAGCACTCGGGAGGCAGAGGCAGGCGGATCTCTGTGAGTTCAAGGCCAGCCTGGTCTACAGAGTGAGTTCCAGGACAGCCTCCAAAGCCACAGTGAAACCCTGTCTCGAAAAACCAAAAAAAAAAAAAGAATGTACTTGGAAGAGGGAATGGAACATGCAAAGATCCACGGCAAGAAGAAGTTTAACATGTTCTTTGAGGATGTTAAACTTTTTGGCCAGTGAGAAGCCATTGAAGGGGTTGGCAAAGGAGCAGAATAAGCCAATCAATATAACCCCACTGAAACGTTTCTGACATGAAAACAAGGTCTTGGTTTTGTCCATTGATAGATTCTTAGCACCTAGAACAGTGCCCAGCTCATAGTAGAAGCTCAGCAAATATTAGTTACATGAGTGAGTGGACAGATAAATGAACGAAAGTAGGTAGTAATTGAATGTGTATATTCCTGGAGCATAGCCGTACAAATAACTGTTAGTCCTGGCCCAAAAACAACTTTGGTTTTCACTCACTTGCCTACTAAGTTAAGTGTAGGTGTGTTGGTATTCATTATAGTGTTCTTTGTAGATCTTCCAGAAGTAACTGGCTCCCAAATCTCACAGGGTACAGAGCTATAGTAAGAATTTTTTCAGGGAAATGGTAGTACACACCTTTAATTCCAGCACTTGAGAGGTAGAGGCAGGCAGATCTCTGTGAGTTTGAGACAAGCTGGGTCTGCAGAGTGAGTTCCAGGACAGCCAGGACTACACAGAGAAACCCTGTCTCGAAAACAAAACAAAACACAAAGTATTCCCTGTATGTTCACTGTAGTTAGCATGAGACTCATGAAAAGAAAATGTGAGAATGAGAAACTTGGTGATCTACTGAAGACAATCAAACCGTTTTCAACTCTCTGGGGACTGGAGATTTGCTTGGTTTCTGAATTCCCAAAATCACTACAACTAAATGGGAGTTTCTGTCTTACATTTAGCTTAAAGGACCCAAGCCCTCACCCCTCACCTACCTCCTGCTTTGTTGAAACAATTTTTAAGAGCTTGAACCTATAAAAAAACTCACCTTATCAGCCAGGCGTGTGGCACACATCTTTAATCCCAGCACTCGGGAGGGAGAGACAGGCGGATTTCTGTGAGTTCGAGGCCATCCTGGTCTACAGAGTGAGTTCCAGGACAGCCTCCAAAACAATACAGAGAAACCCTGTCTCTAAAAACCAAAAAAACAAACAAACAAACAAAAAACAGCTCACCTTATCATAGTCCCTAAACTAGCAAAATCCTTTACCCATACATATGACCTTATTTAATATATTTTCTCTGTATAGCACATCAGTTTTGAGTACTTTCCATAGCAAATCACATCCCAAAGCTAACTTCCAAAGAGACTATGGATAAAATAATATGAGCAAAGAAAGGTGCAAATACATTAGTATTGTCTCACTTACAGACTGTGTAGGCCTGTGAGTGCTGTCAGAGTAAGCTCCCTTCTCATAGCCAGCAACAGCCCACTGAGAGGGAGCTGAAACTTCATGGCCTGTTTACAATAGCAGACAGATGCTTCTGTGTCCAGCTGTTACCGACTACAGGTGTTATCTACTAACAATTACCTTTTTTTTTTAAAGTGGGAATATTGTAGGCTATCATGTGATCGTTCCATGTAGTTCCTGCCTTCTTTCCTGCAACAATGGACACTTCTGGATGTTTCACAGCCAGGCGGTTTATGGTATTAACAGACTAGACTCCACTGGTAAGAAACAATTGATGTATACGTTTGCTTGTAACATTTCTCTGTCAGCACCTGAGTGGATTCTCCTGAAACCTTCACAGCTAGAGTGAAACCTTTGCGTCAGCAAGAGTAAAAACATTGGTCTGCTTTCTCCCACACATTCAGTTATGAAACTATCAGCCAGAACTCATCACCACTTGTTGCTGAATTGAGGGAAGGCTTCACACTTACCTGAATGTCTTAGCTTTGTTGTTGTCATTTTGGGACAGTCACACTAAGCAGCTCTGTCTGGCTCAGTCTTCCTACCTTAGCCTCCGAAGTGATTGTAGATATGTACCACCACTTGTCATATTGGCCTTTTTAAACTAGCATTTTATTGCTGTGAGGTCGTACCTTAGTACATATCCTGATTACAGAGACCTTTTGAAGACAGTATATGGATAGTCAAGGGCGTGTGTGCATATATGTGTAAAGAGAGGAGAAAAGGGCCTGCCAGGGAAGTGAGGAACGGGAAGAAAACTGAGAAGCTTCTATTTGGTAACTCTTTGAAATAAGTACATTTCAGGAACTAGAGGGATATCTCAGTGGTTAAGAGCCTTGCTACTCTTGCAGAGGACCAGGGTTTAGTTCTCAGCAACTACAATAGGCAGCTCATAACTGTCTGTAATTCCAGTTCCAGGATATCTAATGCCTTCTTCTCACTTCCACAGGCACCTGCATGCTTGTGGTGTGCATACAGACAAGTAGGCAAGCACACATACACATAAAACAAAAGTTAATAAATTTAAACTATATATATCAACATGTGCATTAATAAGTTACAGTAGAATTTTAGTCAAGGGAAATATTTAAGATCAATGTGTTATGCAGATTATGTTAGTAAGAAAATGTGCTGGGCCCTAGAGAGACAGAAAACTCAGTGGGTAAGAGCTGCACATGGCTGAAGCTTGAGTTTGGACTCCCCCCATGAAAAAGCCAGGTATGACTGAGTGTATCTATAACCCCCATCACAGAAACAGGACCTTCCTGACAACCAGTCTAGCCAAAACAGCAAGCTTCAAGTTCAGTGAGAGACTGTCTCAAAGGCAAAAGTAGAGAGTAATACAACGAAGCACCCCAATATCCTCCTCTGACCTCAGCACACATATATGTGTGGACATACATATAGAAGGAAAGTATATTATATCCAGGCAGTGGTGGTACATGCACCTTTAACGCCAGCTCTTGGGAGGCAGAGGCAGGCAGGTATCACTGAATTCGAGGCCAGCCTGGTCTACAAAGCAAATTCCAGGACAGCAAGGACTGTTATACAAAGAAAATCTGTCTCAAAAAACCAAATATATATTTGTGTGTGTCTATGTGTGTGAGTGTGTGTGTGTGTGTGTACATGTGCATACACAATGGCATGCATATGAAGATCAGAGGACAACCTGTGGGAGTTAGTTCTCTCCTTGTACTATGTAGGTTACAGTCATCAAACTCAAGTTATTAAACTTGAAAATAGGTGCCTTTATCCAACAAGCCATCTTACTGAGCCTGTTATCAGGGTTTAGGTAGACCAGGCTAGCCTTAAACTCACTGTGCAACCAAGGATATTTTGACCCAAGCCTGATTTTATGAGGTCCTGGAGTTTGTGCATGCCAGACAAGCACTTTAGCAACTGAACTACATCTCCAGCCCAGCATACTCCTTTTAAAGTGTGTGTAGTCTGTTTGTGTGTGTGTGTGTGTGTGAGAGAGAGAGAGAGAGAATTAGAGAGAGAGAGAGAGAGAGAGAATTAGAGAGAGAGATGCTTTGATAGACCAAGAGGTCATGAATTTCTTTTTTTTTTTTTTTAATTTTATTTTCCAGTTTAAATTTAGATAAGAAACAAGGTTGCTTCACAAGTCAGTTCCAGGTCCCTCTCCCATTCCCTCCCTTCCTCCCGTGCCCTCCCCCACCCCCCCCACCCCGTTATCCCCTCATTTCTCCAGGGAGGGTGAGGCCCTCCATGGGGGTGTGCATAGTGTGTCATTTCATATAGGGCAGGGCCTAGACCCTTCCCCAAGAGTTCAGGGTGAGAGTGCACCTCACATTGTTCTATGGGAGTCCAAAGTCTGTGTGTATACTTGGGATGGGTACTGATCTGCTGCCCAAGGCTCAGTAGATTCCCTAGACCTCTTCACTGACACCCAGATTCAGGGGGTCTTTATCAGTCCCATGCTGGCTTCCCAGGCTAATGCCTGGGATTCAAGAGTTAACCTTTGTCTGGTCAGCTGTTTCTGGGGGTTAAACCAGCCCAGTCTTAATCCCTTTGATCATCAGTCCTCCCTCTCTGTTACTGGCTTTCTTGAGTTCAGCTCAGTACTTAACCAAGGGAGTCTGCCTCTTCTTCGATCAGCCACTAAATAAAGTTTCTGTTTCCCAGACTCTCTGGCCATAGGATTGTAGGCTGGCACTCCCCAGATCTATGTCTAAAATCCATATATGAGAGAGTACATGCCATGTTTCTCTTTTTGTGACTGGGTTACCTCACTCAGGATGGTTTCTTCTAGTGTCATCCATTTGCCTGCGAATCTCATGATTCCATTATTTTTTTCTGCTGAATAGTACTCCACTGTGTAGATGTACCACATTTTCTCTATCCACTCTTCAGGTGAGGGACATCTAGGTTGCTTCCACGTTCTGGCAATTACAAATAAAGCTGCTATGAACATAGTGGAACAGACATCTTTGTTGTATGAATGGGCATCTTTTGGATATATGCCTAAGAGTGGAGTTGCTGGGTCTTGTGGTAGGTTTATTCCCATTTTTCTGAGGAATCTCCACACTGATTTCCAAAGTGGCTGAACCAGTTGGCACTCCCACCAGCAATGGAGGAGTGTCCCCCTTTCACCACATCCTCTCCAGCATAAATTGTCATTGGTGTTTTTGATTTTAGCCATTCTGACAGGGGTGAGATGGTATCTGAGAGTTGTTTTGATTTGCATTTCCCGGATGGCTAAGGATGTTGAGCACTTTCTCAAGTGCCTCTCAGCCATTTTAGACTCCTCTATTGAAAACTCTCTATTTAGTTCTGCAGCCCACTTTTTAATAGGGTCCTTTGGTGTTTTGGAGACTTGCTTCTTGAGTTCTTTGTAAATTTTGGAGATCAACCCTCTGTCAGATGTGGGATTAGTGAATATTTTTTCCCATTCTGTGGGCTGCCTTTTTGTCTTGCTGACTGTGTCCTTTGCCTTACAGAAGCTTCTCAGTTTCAGTAGGTCCCATTTATTAATTGTTGATCTTACTGCCTGTGCTACTGGTGTTATGTTCAGGAAGATGTCTCCTGTACCAATTCGTTCAAGGGTACCACCCACTTTCTCTTCTAAGAGGTTCAGTGTGGCTGGATTTATGTTGAGGTCTTTGATCCATTTGGACTTAAGTTTTGTGCATGGCGATAGACATGGATCGATCTGCATTCTTCTACATGCCAGTCTCCAATTATGCCAGCACCATTTGTTGAAGATGCTTTCTTTATTCCATTGTATATTTTTAGCTTCTTTGTCAAAGATCAGATGTTCGTACGTGTGTGGGTTAATACCCGAATTTTCAATTCGATTCCATTGGTCTACCTGTCTATTTTTGTGCCAATACCAAGCTGTTTTCAGGACTATAGCTCTATAATAGAGCTTGAGGTCAGGGATGGTGATGCCTCCGGACGTTGCCTTGTTGAACAGGGTTGTTTTGGCTATCCTGGGTCTTTTGTTTTTCCATACAAAATTGATTATTGTTCTTTCAAGGTCTGTGAAGAACTGTGCTGGGATTTTAATGGGGATTGCATTGAATCTGTAGATTGCTTTTGGCAGGATTGCCATTTTTATTACATTGATCCTACCTATCCAAGAGCATGGGAGATCTTTCCATTTTCTGAGGGCTTCTTTAATTTCTTTCTTTAAAGATTCAAAGTTCTTACGATACAGGTCTTTCACTTGTTTGGTTAGCGTTACCCCAAGGTATTTTATGTTGTTTGTGGCAATTGTAAAGGGTGATGTTTCTCTGATTTCTCTTTCAGCCCTTTTATCATCTGTATATAGTAGGGCTACTGATTTTCTTGAGTTGATCTTGTAGCCTGCCACTTTGCTGAAGGTGTTAATCAGCTGTAAGAGTTCCCTGGTAGAGTTCTTTGGGTCATTGAGGTAAACTATCATATCGTCTGCAAACAGTGAAAGTTGAGGTCATGAATTTCAAGCTAGGTTGTCAAGGGTTTTACACCCTCCAATTATACTTGTGTTTTTAAGACTTTTTTTATGCCCCAGGATTCAACAGTGGCTCTCACTTTGGCCTTTTAATTTAAAACTATGTATATTAAGATGGCCATTTTCAAGCAAGGAAGGACCCTTCTAACTCCCCTAAGTAAAATGTAGGCTCCTACTTTAGACTTTCCACTTTATATTTGTGTCTCCCAAGGGACACATTAAAGAAAGTTTCTGCTTTGATACTGTTTTTCCTGCTTCACCAGATTCAAAACACAGGGTGGAGATTTTTCAGTTTTGATTTACTTTAAAATATTGGTCAATTTTTCAAACATAAAAGACCAGCATTCTTTCTATTGCCCTGACTCTAATCCATGAGAAACAGATGTAGCACCGGATTTCCTTCCTCCTTAGCAGAGAGGAAGATGGCTCTTCAGTCAGATCCAGTCTCCTCATTTATTTTTTCTCCTTTGAACCAATTGTGCCAAGTTGCTTCATAGTTCCTGAGTACAAACTCTAAATACATCAAACTTCTCCTTTGTAACTCCAATATTGTGATTTAAACTAAGATTTCCTAGATGCTTGTCATCAGGAGATTTCTAATGGCTATGGAACTGTCCTTGAGTCACCTGAATAATTTACACCAAAGGAATGGATGCACAAATCGTACAACATTCTAGAATGTTCAGCATGAAAGTTCTCTAAGAAGTCCGTGTTAGCTTACACATAGAAACCCAATTTCCCAGAGCTTTCCCAAATACACTTGGAAATAATCAGCTTAGATTCCCTAGAATATCCCAAATGTATTGGGCTCTCCATTTTCCTTTATGGATTCTAATTTTCACTTAGATTTGGCCTAACAACTCCTAGCTATCTGGTCAACCCCTCAGCACAGGTTTCCACAAGCATATCCCCATTTATTCTTGGGATGAGAATGAGTAAATGTTTTTGTCCTAACCAACTCAGACATGAAACCATTATAGGAAAGAACATAGTAGATATCCATGTATGCTGTCACTTCAAATAAGGACTAACTTCTTGCCTGATTAGATTGCAATCTCTGTCAAACAATATAAACTTGTTTATTCCCACTGCTTCAACCATGTTCATGTCTCTTTTGGTGCTGAGGCAAATCAGGCCCAGAAATGACAGGCTATATTTTCAACATATTTTAAAAGAGTTAGGCAGAAGAGGAAGCTTAGCAGGTAAAAGCATTTTGTGCCCAAGCCTAATAAACTGAGTTTGATCCCAGTGAAAGGTGGAGGTGGGAGAATTGCCTGGAAGTTCACATACCCTGCCTCAACAAAGTAGCCTTCATTCTCTACTCCATATGTTGGACACAGCATGTACACATATGCTTCCCACTGGTTAAATTAAGTTAAAAATAAAAGATTTTCAATGAAACACTCTACAGAATAAAAAAGTAAATGAGCTAAATCTACACCACATGTCAAATAGGCAAAACTCAGAAATAAGGTGAATGAGATTACTTAGAAAAATACATATAGTATATTACCATTCATAACAATTTTAGCCACTTAGAAATAACATGAATGAGATAAATTCAAAAAATATGTGTGGTATAATGCTAGGCTATAAAAATTTTAGCCTGATTTAGTGGCACATGCTTGTAATCTCAGCACTTGGAAGGTAGAGGTAGAAATTCAAGAGTCCAAGGTCATCCTCAGCTACATAATAAGTTAGAGGCTAGCTTAGACACATGAAGCTATCTTAAGAAACAAGCACAACAATACCACAATTTTAGATAACAAACAGTACTAGGTATTGTCTACAGTTGTGTACACTTGTAGTAAAAATGCTGATGGTGGCAGAAGCTGGATTCAAACAGGTATCCAAGTCCTGGCTCATTCTGTGCCACCATGTGGCCTCCATTAAGTGTAGAGTGGAAACCCAGGGCCGGTGGGTCTTCCTTTTGCTCATACCACCAGCTAAACAGCTTGAGATGGTCTCATGACAGGTTTTTATTCTCTCCTAATTTACTACTTTTAGTCATCTCATTATCCTCAGTTTATTTGACCTAGTACTATACACCTGTGCAGGATTCTTTGATATGAAATCCAATTATTCTTCATCAGTGCTGTTTTAGATTATTTTGTTATAGTGACTATAACCTAGCCCTAAAGTTTACAGCTCTGCCTTTACAGTTTGTAATCTGAAGCCCATATCCTTTAGGAAACCATATTATAACTGACTGCTTTAACTCCAATGTACTGGGATTGAACCTAGGACCTCACACTTCCTAGGCAAGCTACCTTACTTTTTAAAGCCTTACTTTTTGAGACAGTAGCTTAGTAAGTTATTATCCAAGCTGGACTTGAACTTGCAATCCTTCGGCCTCAGTCACCCCCAATACCTGGGATTATAGCCTATGCCACCAGGCCCTTCTTGTCTTGATCAGATAAATTATATTAGCTACTGTTCCATATATTAAATGACTCATTTACAAATTTCCCTTACACCCTAGAAAAAGGCACTCAACCTAAAAGAATCCTGTGCAATCTCTATCATTCATATATGTTGTTGTTTTTCAAGACAAGACAGGGATTCTCTGTGTACCCCTGACTATCATGGAACTCACTCCGTAGACCAGGCTGGCCTCAAATGAAGAAATTCTCCTGCCTCTGCCTCCTGAGTGCTAGGATTAAAGACATATACTACCCACCACCGTCTGGATGAAATATATTTTTAAATTATCAATGTAGAATATGAATGGGATTGTGTAGCTGGAGGCAGAGTTGGAGCAGATAGAACTCCAGCGTTCTTTTTGAGATCTAAGAGTCTAACATTCAAGCTCTTGCTTAAAAGAGTTTAAAGAATGCTCATGTTGTAGATGGATTACATTAGATAGATAGTTTTATTTGTAAAAACACCCTTCCCTGCCATTGTCTTTACTAGTGATGCCATAGTTTATATGAGAAGTTTGGCATATAAAGTTTTATATGCCATGTTCTGAATTGTAGTAGTAAGCACTAAAGAACTTTATGACCTCTTATTTTCAGGTGTAAACTGCCTACTTTGGGGCAACTTGCCAGAGACAGAAGAATGTACAGATGAAGATATGTTAGAAATTTCAGCAGAAGAGTATATTCGATGAATGGATTATGATGGATATGTAATGTTTTATAGTTTTTCTATTTAATTGGTCAATTTTAACATTGCCAATAAAGATTTGCCAGTGGTTTAAAAAATGGAGCATTTACTCTTTTATTTTGATTTCAAATGGTCTCAATTTAATGTAAGCCAATTCTTTTCTTTTATTTCTACTGCTTCTTCCCCCCTTCCCTCCTGCCCAGGGTTGGTATATTCTTGACTTCCCATGGGAAATCTCACCTGTCACACAGCTACCTTCCAAATTGAGAGTTTTTCTACAACTTGATGCTAGATAATATGATTCTATATTCCTGAATAAGGACATTAATACCTATTCCTATATCAGTCACACAAAATATGCGGCTCAACTAAATTTATAAGGAATTAATAAAAAAGAGCAGGCTGTCAGGTTTCCATGGGTACTGGTTATTATATGCTGTATTAGTAATGACTGCTTTAATATGGAAAGTGGTGTTAGACATGAGTTTGTCAGAAAATTGCCAATGTATGTTGTTTAGCAATGTTAATTATGTACATTCTCCTAAAGCCATTATAGATATTATGCCTTGAGAACCAGATAAAACCAACTTTCATCTTTAAGTTATCCATTCCCTAGGTACTTTTCTGTGAATAGAAAATTCTAATTGAGTAGTCTAGGTCCAAAACTTAGTTAGGAAAAAAACTAAAAAAGTGATTGCTTAACCACCATACATTATAAAAGAGTTTTCCCTCTTTTCGCATTATTTTTTATTTTGTTTATGAGATGGGGGTCTCATTGTGTAGTCTCATTCCTGGCTGGCCTGGAACTCACTACATAGGCCAGGCAAGTCTTAAATTTGTAATCCTTTGCTTCATTCTCCCCAGTAGCTAGCACTACAGACCAAAACCCAGGCCTGGCTTCCTCTTTAATCTTGTACTCCAAAAAAATAAAATAAGTAAATACTTGGATAAGCTTTAAAACAACAAAAATGAAGTTCATAGCACATATATATTCTTCAATTAACTTATTCAGTTAAAGAAAAAGTGTTTAGAGCTGGAGTTGAAAATGTTAAAATTCAAGGCTAGCTTTCAATAGAATTTGTCTGTTCCCATTCAGCTCAGGTCATGATGTACTGTTTGACTTGGGTTCTCTGTGAAGAGGCAGTGCCAGACAGAGGCACACTGACTGAAATAAACCCAAATATTCCATTGCAGCTGGACAGTATTTAAGATTACTCAGCTACTTTTCTAGGAAAGTCCATTTTAGGTAACAAATGAATTCATACATTTTTATCTAGAGAAAAACATTCATAATGCTTTCTTTTTAAATTTTTTTCCTTCAGTACTGGGGATTGAACCTGGGGCCTCAGACTTGCTAGACAAAGGCTCTATTATGAAACTACCCCTTTTAAAATAAAAGCAAAGTACATAGTCTGGAAAGACCAAAGCAGAATCATGTGTGTGTAGATAAGCATTTGTTTTCTGGCCCTAGCATAATTTGTAGGTTTAAAATAATCTATGCATTTGTTGTCTTTTAATATTCTGTTCAGCAGTTTGTATCACTCTCCTGTCATGTGGCAAAAACCGTACAATATTCTACTCACACTTGGCTTGGGAGACCTCAGGGGTTGGGGAAAGGCTGTAATCCCTGGCAACAAGTGAGTTAACAAAGGCTCCAGAGACAAAGCACAGTTACCCCAAGTCATAGGAAAGAGTGGGAGTTGAGAAGTCCTTAAAGAAGAACTTATACTTGAGGCAGGCTTTGGGCACAGGAGTTTGCCTGCTGGGATGAAAGTTTAGGACAGAGAACATACCTTGTAAGGAAATATTAAGGATTAATTCAAGATAAGGCACAGTTTGTCATTGTCTAGTTTAGACTTCACCCAGAAGCAATGTAGTTATTGAAGTTTTTGATCAAAGGGATAAAATGACCAGATTCAGGCCAATAGTTACTTTAAAGAATAATCAAGTTTGGTTTTCTAATGTTCTTTCCTTGAGGAGTATAACTTGACTGTGAAAATGGTATTTCTTCGCCCTCTAAACCTGTTTACATCTGAAGCCGGGCATTGGTAGTGCACGCCTTTAATCCCAGCACTCGGAAGGCAGAGGCAAGTGGATCTCTGTGAGTTCGAGGCCAGCCTGTTCTACAAAGTGAGTTCCAGGACAACCTCCAAAGCTACAGAGAAACCCTGTCTCGAAAAAAACAAAAAACAAACAAACCAATAAGCCTGTGTACATCTGGAAGCTCCCTGAATCTTATTTGTCTTTCAGAGAGCCTCTGATCTGCAGGGGCACTGCCTCTTTTTCCTTCCCATCTCACCATTCCTGAAGTTCAAGGAAGGGACAATGAGCCACCAGCTCATTTACTGTGGGTTCTTCTGCCACTTTATCTTTTCCTCAAGCCAGTTTCTCAGCCCCAGGCTCTGTTGAGGCATCTTGGGTGGGACCCAATCTTTTTTTTTTTTTTTTTTTTTGGTTTTTTTTGAGACAGGGTTTCTCTGTGGCTTTGGAGGCTGTCCTAGATCTAGCTCTTGTAGACCAGGCTGGTCTCGAACTCACAGAGCTCCACTGCCTCTGCCTCCCGAGTGCTGGGTGTAAAGGCATGTGCCACCACCGCCCAGCTGGGTGGGACCCAATCTTAAAGCTATAATGTTTTTAATAACCCCTGGCTCTACTAAAAAATAGTCCTTAAATATTAGTATTTTATGGAGATTATCCTATTAAGAAATGATCTTTTGACCTCTGAGTCACATGGGACTGATTAGGAATAATCTATACATACTTTCCTTTGGTAAGAAGGCAGTGACCATAATATATAAACCATGATATAGAAAACAACTTAGTGTAGGTTACAGAGGTTGGGAGGAAATGGATTGCATGTTCTTGTTTCAGTAGAGAATTACTTGATGAAGGCTCTATATTTTAACATTCATGCTCATAAAAGGAAATATTTTCCTTTTCTGTCACCCCCTCCCTCCCTCTCTCTCTTTCTCTCCTCTAAAAGCAGATTAAACCATAGTTTCTTTCTTTCCTGGTATTGAGTGTATGCCAAATCTACCCTAAACTGAACAGATGGAAAAAATTAGTCTATGTCTGTGGTACCTCTGGGGTTGAATATTTTTAGTGCTTAAATCTTTAGCTAAAGGTTCTTTCTTCCAACACTAAAGAATGATTTTATTGTTACTCAATGTACAAACTCACTGATGTAAAAGTTAGCAGTATCATGTTTTTCTGTTTCACTGAGAATTGTCACATACTCTTTCATTTTCAGAATCCTCTTGGAGTCATCATCTCATTTCCACTTTACAAATTAAGAATGTCTATTCCCCCTCCTCCTAAGGATTCACCATTTAACACAGGTTGACCTTGAACTCGAAGCAATCCTCCTACCTCAGTTTATCAAATGCTGAGATTACAAATGTACACCACTATGCCCTCCTAAGCTAAAAAGAAATTCTTAGTCCAAACACTTAAAAAATTAAAAGACTCTAAATTAGATCTGAGTGTTCTCATTTTTGTTTAGGGATCTCTCTTACATCCCTAAGTGGTCCTATACTGAAAACCATTTGTTTTTCTACCTAGCTATGAAACCTAGGAAAAATTTTCCAGGTCAGTGCTTTTTTTCTTTTAATTTTTCGTTCCCCATCCCCTGCACTGGGAATCAAATTCTTGGGGGCTTATGTGCACTAGACAAACACTCTACCACTGAGCTATATGCCCAGTCCAAAGACAAATTTTCTCTGATTTCAAAAATTCAGTTACTTTAGTTGACCCATTCAAGAAATATTGGTGGCCCTCCTTTTGCACAAAACAGATGCTAGAAATACAGCATTAAACATGGTACTTGAGAAGAAAGAAAGCTTATTGAATGTTTACTGTGAGCCAGCCCTCACTCAAAGTGCTTTCTTTGTACATAATCCCTAACAGATAGTTCCCATCATCCTTGCCATAAAAAATAGGAAACAAACAAACTAAGACAGAAAGACTTTTTTAATTTTCCCTAAGCTGGCAGGGCAAGTAAATGACACCACTGTACAGTTTAGAGTGGCCCTAATCAATTAGCTTACAACTATGTTTCCTTATGTCCCTAGTATCATTGACTCCCACTCAATAAGTCAAGTTTTCCATTAGCAGTCTCTGTCCGAATGTTTCCCCATTATCCCTCGGTGATTTTGTTTTAGAGATGAGAACGACAGAGTCTAGCTTTTTAGTGAGAGAGGCTTTTTTTTTAACCCACAACTGATGAGAAAGATAGATTTACACTTGATGGGCGTGGGGGGCATTCCTAATTCCCAGCTTTGCTATATGTCTGTCTGTAAATGAAGCCATTTTCACGAGTCCAGACTTTCATCTTTCAAATTACAAATTTTCACAGTAGAGTGGATGCCTGTGCTTTAAGCTGTGTACATTTTTCAAAAAATGAATCAAATGGCCACCTTTTGTAAATGTCCCTAGTCTCTGTTTTCTTACAAGCTAGCATTTAAAATCTATTTATGCATAATTTCAGAAGCTATCTTGCCTTAAACAAGTATTACTTGATTTTCATGCAAGATTATACATATATTATAAGAAGAGCAAATGCAGGTACCAAATCTATGTTCAGACTTTGCATTTTGGTATTTATGGCAGAGTGGCATGACAAATAGCTAATCATCAATTGGATTAGTCAAGGATGGGCTGCACTGAAGTTTGCCACCAGAATGTATCTCTCCGCCTCCGTTCACAGAAATCACTTCCTCTGCCAAGGGACCCACGGCAAGCAGGCATATGGGGATGATTCACTTGAGGGAAGTTGTGCCCAGAATATCCCAACAGTTTGCTTTCTGCCCCTCTCTCCTTGCCATGGTTTTTCTCCCCAGAGGAAGCACCTGTTATTATGTCTGTGACACCTGAAAAGCACTCTGAATATTGCAGGAGATTGCTCATGCGTGGGTGAATTTCCAGGGTTCTCAGTGAAATCTTAAAAACTTAGGAGAACTATTCTCAGACATTGGAACATTGCCTTGTCTTATCAAAATTGCTCTGTAACCACATTCACAAATACCTTAGAACACTGAGCTACAGATGGAATTCAGTAGAAGACATACTGAGCTAATTTCCTTTGGACAGCATTACCCAGAGAA